GCATAATATCAAAAGTCTTCCATTATATATTCAAATATATTTAAATGAGTCTAATAGTGTTTTATCATTGAAATAAGAAAAATAGTACTCATACACACCTGATATATAATTTTCTGTTAATTCGGCAGAACATAATGAAGCCGTTCACACATTTCTTCTTAGGGTTTGGCTGTGTTGTAACACGTCCTCTTCTTGAAGTGTGCCTGTGTGAACAGACTTTTCTTGCTCTCTTCCGAGGAACGAGTTGTTTTGGGGTCTCATCTTCAGAGCTATTGTTCTCTTCCTCACTCTTGAAGGACAGATTGCTGCTACTTCCAGCACTCATGACAATCTGCAAATTTGAAGAACAGAGAAGATAACATAAATAAGAGAGCTCAAAGTAAAACAGTATCTCACTAATCTAATATAAAATAGGGGTCCAAAAGTCAACTAGTGAACATGCTTCTACGTATTTTTTAATTTCAATTTAATTCTTTCAATTCCAATTTTGTCATTGCTATATTCAGCATAACATTTTTAGTGAAATGTTGACCGTCTGTACAAAGGAATCACATGATTGATCAGTGTCACATTTGCAGATTCTTCAATTAATTTTACATAATAATGTTTCCTGATTTGACATTTTTGAAATGTAAAACAGCTTAACCCTAAAAGACCCAAGCATATTCATGATGTATTATTTATTCACTCTTAAAAATGTCTTAATGAAACTATTGTTAGGCAGAATTTTCATGGATTATAATTTGGAATATGTTGCAGAATTGAAATGCTGGTTTTCAATACATTAAGTGAAAGTTGTAAATTGTGAAAATGTAGCACAAATGTATTTGTAAAAATACTATATTTAAACCAGAAGAACAGAGAAGATACAGTCAAGAAACGTTATTTGTCTATTTAAATACTGTATTTTAAATAGACAAATAACATTTCTTGACTGTATCTTTACTTGTTTAAATATAGTATTTTACCAATCTTTTTCTTATCAAAGCATATTTTAAATATAAAGTATTGTTATTGGTACTGTTATATCACTGAGACAATAATGATGAAACAGTAAAAATAAAATAATTTTTGTACCATTCTTTGAATGGGCTCCATAGTGTGAGAACAGTATACAAAAGTTTGACTCCTCATGCCCAGCATTGTATTTTTGCTACAAGAATGCAAGAAAAATGATCTCAAATGTATATACATTCAAAGTGTCAGGGCATGCAAGCCTTTTTCCGTCACTAGACACTGTGTAGAAACACTTATTCAGTGAAAGTATTATTTTATTGCTATACACAAACTTTGCTGTTCTGTTTTGCTGGGTCTCTGAGGGTTAATCCCAGTTTTTCATTGTGATCTCAGTTTTGAGTTTTGGACCTCCCTGTATGTGCAGGTAACAAAGGATCACAAAATTTAGCCTACTGATCCATCTGCAAAGCTGCCTGGCAAACTGGGACTTTTTAAGACGGTAGATTCTGGGGTGACCCACACGTCCTCGAATAATGCTGTTAGGGTAAAAAAATATTGTTCAGTCAGCATTGCAGCAACACTGTCTTGTTTGTAATTTCACACTGTCAGTAATGTGCATATTTGGCTCCAAGCAGATTTTGCCTAACTGCCTAAAAGTTTTAAACAATACATTATTCATAAAACAACTAATGCATCTATTTAATAAATACATGCTCAGAAAAAAGATACAAAAGCTGTCAGTGGGGCGGTACCCTTTCAAAAAGCACTGATATGTACCAATTTGGTACAAATGTGTACGCTTGATGTACTAATATGTACCTTTAAACTACTATTATGCACCTTTTAAGAGTAAATAAGGTACAAATATGTACTTTTTGAAAAGGTAGTACCCCAGTGACAGCTTTTGTACCTTTTTACTGAGATTGTATATATTGTAGACTGAGATTGTATACTTGCTAGTCTATATTAGTATAGAACAGGGCTGTCCAAACTCGGTCCTGGAGGGCCGGTGTCCTGCAGAGTTTAGCTCCAACTTGCCTCAACACACCTGACTGGAAGTTTCTATGCCTAATAAGAGCTTGATTAGCTGGTTCAGGTGTGTTTAATTAGGGTTGGAGCTAAACTCTGTAGGACACCGGCCCTCCAGGACTGAGTTTGGACAGCGCTGGTATAGAATGAATCGAATAATATACAGTATGTGTAGGCCCGTATGGATTATCTTTACTTTGTAGTGCCTCTCGTCCTTCTGGATGGAGAGAACGGCTCAGGCCTTGAGAAGGTGATATGAGCAGAGATGGGTTGAGGGTCAGACTGTCTGCTTCCCGAAGAGGTGGACGCAAAGGCAGTACTGGTGTTTTTGGTAGCGTAGGGCTGAAAGTAAAACGCTTTTTCCATGCAGCCGGAAAAGCTCCAAGCATTGGGTCTTTCAGAAGAATTCCTGATCTGAAGATATAGTAAAACATCAAAATGAGTTACAAGCTTGCACACAGGCTTGCATACATCTCAAGCTGTCATTTCTCTATTAACAAACATAAATTAAATATTCAATATACAAACCTGGATGGAGGTGTATCCAACATATTTCTCCCTGGGCTTCCATCTTCACTTCCTGTCTGGTCTTCACAGAAACTACAGGTAGATTCAGCCTCAGTGCTCCCTGATTACAAAAAAATAACCCCGGGTATCCTTTAAGTTTCAGAATGTTGATTTAATTGATATCTAACACCAAAGAAAGACAAGCTTTTTTCACCTGTATTGAAAGAGGAAGTTGTAGAGTTGGAGTCTATAGAGCTTTGTGATGGCTCGCTATCATCAACAGGCCACAGGTCTTTCTCCTCCGCAGTTTGGACTTCTGACAAATTGCTTTGTCTGTCACACACAAGCTTGTGTTCTTGCTCCTCCACAGCATTTATGATAAATCTCTCAGAGTTTTTGCTTTGAGGGTCCCTCTTTTTGTCACTTAATTGTACTGTTTATAAATGTATACATACAGTAGTGTAAGTGAAAATAAATACCATTTTATACAATGTACGATTTATTTTCTTTCAATTCTTTAAATACAAAAACTTCACCTGTATACTTGTTTATGCGATTGTAGGTGTACATGTTCTTGGCTTTTAGGAATTGTGGTGGTGTGCAAGATAGTGGAGTGTCTTCGCTTTCTGACTCTGATTCTGCAGACACACACACAGGCCATAGTTTTTAGTATATATCACATGCCCCCTTCCATTTTTCAAAACATATGCATAAAAAACTTAAAGCATAAATAATAAAGCAGCTGACTCCTCTCATTGTTCTCGGATAGACGGTGAGGGTGAGTCTTCAGACTAAGAATGTGACTCTGGTGAAACTCAAAGCACTGCAGCATGTTTATCAGGGTGTCCTGTGGACACACATAAAACATGTTGTTTTAAATAAATTATTTTGAACTATATGCATTATTCATACAATGTAGCAAATGAACATTTATTTTATTATGTTCGTATGTTTTAACACCTAGAGATAGACACGCACACGCACACACACATACACATTATTATATTACACACACGTATTATACATTGTAAACAATAGCATTTAAAATGAATTTTTATCACATCTGACTGAGTACCAATGCGTTAATTTCGCGCACTACTATTCAATGCCATATTGTTTTTAAATATTTTGAAATGAGCCGTAATTTATGCTGGTGTGTAAACAGGTGCGCATACTTCTTTGATAACTGATATGTCGCTTTTATTTTAAGTTTTTATTATTTTTAAATAGATGCGTATTTTCTTGTGTATGTATAGTTGCCTTACCTGAAATTATTCTCTATGGAATGCTGCAGCTATTCAAGTATTAAATCTCCTCCAACATAGAACTTCTCATTAGAATGACATTGGACAAGAAAAGAGCCAATCAGCTTCAGCGCTTACGCGGATTGGATAACGAGAAGCATCAGACTTTCCCGGTAGGTCCTTTACACAGACCTCGTGACAGTTGGTTACTGGGGTGTTTGTCCATGAACGTTTTATTGAACTTTAAAACTTATGTATATTTTATTTAATATTAAAACACTTTCTTCAATTTCAACCAATCCATTTGTATGCAGATTTTCGTCAAAGTTTAAAACAATGTCTCTGTAGCACTGTGTTTGTACTTCAAGAAGACCTGCATGACATAGCAACATTTCCCAACCAATGATGTGACTTGGAGGCGTGGCTGTCTCCGAAAGGAAGACCCCCATCAAGTTCTTTGACCCATAGACATAATAACGAACTGAAATTGAACTTTCAAAATTACAAAATTCAACAGCAAATTCTTCACATATTTCTCATATTTACACATTTTGTAAGTACAAATTGAGACAATTTTAATAAAATAAAAAATAAAATAAAAGGGCATTACAAGCATATTTTAAATTCACTTTTATCATTTGTTTTCATTCAAATGAATATGACTTTTCTAAAACGAAAATATTTATTATTACTTTTACTTTACTTTTACTTTTAGTCATTTAGCAGAGGCTTTTATCCAAAGCGACTTACAAATGTATTGATCTGTTTTTGTTATTAGGAAAATTTATAATTTAAAATCCGATTTTGCTCATTTTCAAACAGCCTTTAAAGCTTATTTAGAATCTATAAAGTCTTTTAAAAAATCGTAACGACCCAAAGTTGTATGGAAACCTGTTTGAAATCCATTTTTTGTCATTCCTTTTGCTGACACTAGGGGTGCACTGCATAAATTACACGAATCAGCTAACGTGCAAATCTGTGCGAAAGTTAATCAAAATAGTTGTCTGCCAAAATAAATGATTTCCATTTAATCTCCATCTTAGAATGTTTTAATTAGATATTTAAATATTTCAAATTTATTATTGAACGCTGACTATGTATAGCTTCCCTATAGTTATGTTCATATGCATGTGAATATGAAATATGTGTCATATTTATTGCCCAGTAATACTGCCGAAAGTAAGTGAGTACAGAGAGGACCCAGCTGCGCAGATCGCTGTATGTTCTGTCTCAATAACATCGACTGCAGAACTGAGAATGCGATTATTTACAGGCTGCATCGTCAAGATGCATGTCAAGGACGAAACAGACCGGCGTTTGTGATGCGTGTGTGAATGTTCCCCAGCAGTCCTCTCGTCGATCAGCACTATGAGCTGGTCATTTCTGTTCATTTATTTGATAGAGCAGTGCCTGTGCCAGTTCCGGACTGCTGCTGGTGAGTGTGTCTGTTAGGCAAAACCAGCTTTTTAGGCTCTGCATTTTTCGTGGGCACTAACAAGTTAAGTGCTTCGCCATTTAATTTGGCTGTTTGCATGAATTAAGCCTGTGCTATTAATTATTTATCAATATAATAATTTTATGACTTATTCTGTTGTATATTTAAGTGTTCTGGTTTATCAGTTATTATAACTGCATGCATGCATAAACGGAAAAAACATCAAATTAAGTCTAAATGCACCTGATTATAACAATGATTCTAAGTAATTGGGAATCGTAGTTTAATTTGTTTCGTCTAAATAAGTCAGCTTCGTGGTACGATTTGTGATTTTTGTGAACTGCTTATTGTATTTCCATTCCATGCAGGTGTAATCTTAATTTGGCATCTCTCGTAAACACAAGATGAACAGCATAAGGTAGGCTACAAAGCAGCGACTGTCGGGTGGAACTGTTCCGTCGCGCGCTGTGACCGATTACTGCTGCTGTGCTTGTGCGTGCTGGTGGCAATGACATTAACACTGGCAGTATCACGATCTAACCACCAAACCATAGAGTATGATTTGCCTCCCAAACCTCCTGACCTATTCAAAGACCAGGTAAGAGGTGTACAGACACTCAGTTTTAATGTCTTTCATTTTCTTGTGTACTTTTCAGTCATTTGTAGATGTGTTTTTGGAACATAACAGCCTTTAGCTGGTTCAAGCATTATGTGGTGGAAGATGGTCATTAGCTGGTCCTTAGTTGTTTGACCAGCTACCATGTTCCAAAAAACAGTAGAACCAACTGGTTTTTGCTGGCCCACAGTTATACTAGTTAATAATTAACTTACACTCTTAAAACTAAGGATTTGCGTTAGGTTCCATGAAAAACATTTAACATCCTTGGAACCACAAAAGGTTCTTTAAAGTGGAAAAGCATTGTATAGATGAATAAAATGTTCATCAAAAGGGTTCTTTTAGGAACTGTTCATTTATACATTGGTGGCCAAAATTATTTTCACCAGGTAAAAAATGGTTTGAAGTCAGTTATTTCTCTGTATCAGTAGTAAATACCAGTTTGCATTACCAAAAATTCATTTAGCTATTAATTGTAATAATTTTAGCGGGTGAAAATACTAGTGTTCTAATAATTTTGCCCACCACTGTAGGTTCTTCAAGGAACACAAAATGTTTTTTCTATGGCGTCTCTGAACTCTTATTTGAGACCTTTATTTGAAAGAATATTGATCAACTTTATTTGGTTACCACAATCCAAAACCCAGCTTTTCCCAGTGTAATTTTGTTGCATTAACCCCTTGTAGTATACAACTAATGACTATTTCCCTTATCATTCACCTTCCACATTTACCATCTTTAACCTTTCATAGCTTAATCACCAGCCAGGTAAACCCACTGCTGCCCAAGTGAAGTGGCTCGTCTCGCAGGTTAAATGGGAAAGACTGTGGTATTCCCATCTGCATCCCATTCTCACTGAATGCCAGCCAGGAAGCCGTGGGAGTCGGGCTGTTCGAAAAGTGAGTCACAATCGATTTAGAACTATCAGCCTGGATTTTAGTTCAGTTAAATCTCAGATCTTACTAAATATGCTATAATCTGATCATGTCTCATTTATTCTGTGATCCTAGCACATCTTTTCTCAACTGGATTCTCTTTCGGCGGGCTGGTCTGTAGAAGTGGACTCCTTCATCTCCAAAACCCCTCGTGGCCCTGTTAGCTTCTCTAATGTCCTGGCCCTGTTGGACCCAATGGCTCCTCGCCGACTGCTTCTGGCTTGTCACTATGACACCAAATTTATACCTTCAGATCCTAGTGACCCACAGAAGGTGTTTGTGGGTGCCAGTGATTCAGCCGTGCCTTGTGCTATGATGCTGGAACTGGTCACCACTTTGGATCCACACCTCAAAAAGCACAAGCAGCTAGTAAGACAAAGTGTTACATCTCAATTTCAACACTGTTTTCAGAGGTCATTCGTTTACCAACTAAATTTGGAGACATATAGCACCATTAGCTCATAAATACACTCTGTTCTGAGATAAAGAGAATGGTTCATGTCTCTGAGGAGGTCATTTAAGCTTTTTTCAGACTTGTGAATAGCCGCAGTGCTGTAGAAGTCAGAGTCAGTTCTGTTGTTTAACTTGTAAAACACTGCATGACTGGAAGAGATTTTGATAAGAAGACAAGATCCTCACGACCTACATACAGTAGCAGCTGTAGAATACCAGATTTCTTGATTTTCTCATACTTGGGGACATGCAATTGATTTTTTATTGATTTTTTGCACAGAATGAAGCATCTTCCTGTGCAGGCCAGGTGGTAGGAAGATGGCCATTATTTTAAACGAATCTACATTTTTAGTAAACAGAATTCTGCAGCAACAACTCCAGGATTGGAATCATGATTGATTTGTGGGACATTTGATTGGCTCTTCACATTTACAGAGCCGATTCTTTTTTTGACCCTGCAGTTGATCTTCTTTGATGGAGGAGAAGCTTTTGAGCAGTGGTCTCAGACAGACTCGCTATATGGTTCACGGCACCTGGCAGACTCCATGTCGCGCGTTCCTCACCCGCCGGGTTCTGAACAAACCACACTGCTGAATGCTGTGATAAGTCAGGATCCTTGTGTATGTGTGTGTGCATTTGTTTTTAAAGGGATAGTTTACCCCAAAATTAAAATGCTGTCATAATTTACTAACCTCATGTCTATTTAAACCTGTGACTTACGGTTTGCGAAACACACACTAGGTCCATATACAGTGAAAATCAATGGGGTCCAAAATTGACTTTCATTGTATAGACCAAAGCATTCTTCAAAATGTCTGTTATGTTCTACAAAAGACAGACAGTCATACAGGTTTGGAACAACATAAGGGTGAGTAATTACTGACAGATGTTTTATTTTGGTTGAACTATGACACTATCTCTTTAAGTATCTATGAATCATAAATATATGATATTTGCAGGATCTCCTTGTTCTTTTGGACCATATTGGTGCCCCTGATCCCATGTTTGTGAATCACTTTGAGAACACAGCTCGCTGGTTTGACCGCCTTATCGCTGCTGGTAAGACTGATTTGACTTTCTATTAATATAAGGTATCCTGGTTAATTATTAATGGCCATAAAGACTCTTAAAACTAATGTTTAATCTGCAGTGGCTTAATTTAGAGTCGACAAACTATAAACGACTTACTGTAAAAGGAAATACGATTTATTGAGTTATCTATGTCTACAGTAAATGCAGCGTTTGAAATGAACACCCGCCAAATGCGGTTGATAATCACATATGAACTCGCTAGCCAATTTGTCCGATTATGATTAATACATTATGATTATCATATTATTTGGGTTGGCTTTTTTAATGGTTGTCAATGGAGGAGAGGATTTGATTGCTGATTGAGAATTGACAGCCTGTGCTGTCAATATATATATATATATATATATATATATATATATATATATTATGGTATCCACAAACAATGATTGACCGTATTAAAACTGAAAATCATATAATGATTCAGAATAAGATTTAATAATAATATATTTAAATCTAAGATGTGAGTCTGATAATCTGGTTTATTTCTGATATTTTTATTTTGGCTAGTAGAAGCACTTCTGAATGGAACATTCAGTTGCAAAATTGGCTTGTGAGTGAAGAAGTTAATTTCAAACCCTGTAACGATTAAAAGATAAGAAAAGCAATATCAATGAAGTTCAGTGATTAATTAGCAATATTTAACAATATTTAAGATGATTATGAATTATAATCCTTGATTGTTATAAAAATTGTAACAATAGACCCAACGATAGATAGTTTATATCCACCCTCTGATTCCTCTAATTATATTTCTGCGTTTTCTAAGAAAAGAGACTTCATAATTTGGGGCTCCTGTCTTCCCATCCCAAAGAGCAGACCTATTTCATGAAGGATGTGAATATGGGGCCAGTTGAAGATGATCATACTCCTTTCCTTCAGAGAGGTAAGACCATAGATCACTTTGACAAGCAGAAATATCTATGCACACACACATATCGCAATTCTTATTCTTGTTCTGATTCTTTCTCTCATTGACTGCAGGAGTTCCAGTGCTGCACATAATCGCTACGCCATTCCCTTCCTTCCTACACACGTTGGAGGACACAGCGGACAAGGTTCACAGTCACACTGTGGAGAATCTCACCAAAGTCCTTGTGGTCTTCCTGGCTGAGTATCTGCGGCTCTAGGATGCTATAATATTACATCCAACCACATCCGTCGTGGATCGGTCTATTCCTCAGCTGCACTGCTTTAGGATATCTAATATCAGTGACTGTTCTCAGAGATGCATAACGTACTGTATACTCTCAGGCTGCCATCCTATATCCTGACATATGCTTACCGTTGGACTTTCTGACATGTTAGTCAATCGGTATCGTGCCTTCAGATAGTTTTGCTATCTAGTAATGCACTGTATAGACAAAATAATATTATTATCTGTGCCAAAAAAGGTTTACATATGTTTATTCATCTATTCAATAACTGCAATAAAATCAATAGAATGCAAAGTAGATGCTTCAAGTTCAGGAATGGATGTGAACCTGATGCTATATAAGAGATTATTAAACTATACACTACAATCAAGCTATGTAATGCTACAACAGTTCTGATAAACTTCTATATTTAATCTTGCAATAATTTTCTCAAGTAAGCAGTCTGTAATCTCTAGTAGCTAAATGTTCAATCACATGTTAGTCTAGATCAGTGGTTCCCAACCCTGGTCCTGGAGGCACCCCAACACTGCAAGTTTTGCATGTCTCATTAATCAAACACCCGATTCAGGTCATCAGCTCATTAGTAGAGACTCCAAGACCTGAAACTGGCGTGTCAGAGAAAGGAGACATGCAAAATGTGCAGTGTTGGGGTGCCTCCAGGACAAGGGTTGGGAACCACTGCTCTAGATAAAATAATTTTCTAACAGAGCTTGAAACTTGCACTTAAGTGGCAAACAATTCTGACTTGATACTTGACTAGACTGGTAAGCAAATGACTTGAGAGACTTTTCCAAATTAGAAACTCTTTAGATCTACAAGGACAGTTATTTTTTTCTCAGAATAATGCAACAATTTTTTGATTAAAAACCCATGAAAATGAATACTAATTTCTCAGTGGGCATTACAGAAAAATAACATATCTCTTGTAGTGAATACAGTAAATTACATAAAAGATGTTCTTTGTCATGTGAAACCCAATATACTTTATTTAAAGATAAGTGACATGACGTGACATGTGGCCAAGTATGGTTACCCATACTAGGAATTAGTACTCTGCATTTATCCCATCCTAAGTGCACACACACAGCAGTGACCACACACACTGTGAACACACACCCGGAGCAGTGGGCAGCTATTTATGCTGCGGCGCCCGGGGAGCAGTTGGGGGTTCGTTGCCTTGCTCAAGGGCACCTCAGTCGTGGTATTGAAGGTGGAAGAGAGCGCTGTACATTCACTCCCCCCACTTACAATCCCTGCCGGACCAGAGACTCGGAACTCGCAACCTTCTCTAACCATTAGGCCATGACTTCCCACGTACCACAACTTCCCACCTAAGTATTAGTTAATGTTCAAGAAAATCCCTCAGAAATTAATTTGTAATTAAAAATATGTAAATTGACAACAAACTAACCTGCAGCATGTAAAAAAGCATTTAAAACTGAACATGGGGCTCGTAAAAAAGGACATACTGTAGACTTGAGACTTTACTTAAACTTGACCTTGAAAGACTTGTCTCTTGCATCAGTGATTTGAATATGTTAATATGTCTGTTTTATAGTGTAACACTGAATATAAAATATAAGTATTTTTCAGTTACAGATATGATGTGGACGGATCTTAGTCGGATCATAGTCGAATTCTAAATAAAGGAGGAACATTGAATCTTGTCGGCCTTGTCTTGTGTGTCGCTATACAGCCTGGACACTAGGTGGCAGTGTATCCGGCGCTTACAGCGTTTCGTGACGTCAGCACCAGTTAGAAAACACAGCGCAGGCGCAGGTCATATTCGGGAACTACAGTTACAGTTTATATGACTGTGGTGTCATTGGCAAGACGTTTTATAACTTACAACAAATAGTAAACAGCTATGATGACTCTGGGTGTTATAACAATTACCAATGCATCGTGCGCTGTAACGTTATAACTGACAAGGTAGGGCTTTGCTGTCATTATATTTCAGTTTGTTCATGTGAATGTTACTGTTAAGTTTTGGCAGTGTCCAGTAGTGTAGCATGCTGTAAATCCAAAACTATTTTACATATCACGTTTTCCAAGTCTACATAGAAAATGTTTGTATTTTGTAAAATCCGTCTCACACAACATGAGCATTTAGGATGTAAAGCTAGATAAAAAAAAATTCTATGAATGGATAAAAATATTTTAGATGCCATTTTAGTCACCTTAAATTTTAAGTAATATATATCATACATCCTCAGTTTATTGATCAAGTACATTTAGCCAGTTGTTTTGTATTACACATTTTCTGAAATATAATGTTTAACTATGCAAATTAGGAATTATCTAATTAAATATGCACTAATATGCATACAAGACCAGAAATCTAAACACCGAATAAAGCCAGATTCAAAATTCTTGTCTCATTTTGTTGACATTACAGTTAAAGGTTTTTGCAGGTGGTATTTTGAATAACTCTTTCTATTGCTCCATAAATCATAAAATACTGTCAACCTCCAAAAATAAAATTTGATATAAACTTTTTTATAAAAATGCATGTAATCATGTTTTATGAATAAAATGCCACTTGAGTGATATATATGAAACCTTCAGAATATTGATAGGAATAAAACTGTAAAGTCTGGTCTGTGTAAGTGCAAGAGATTTGAATCTCTGTGTAAGAGATTTTTGACTCGGTGCATGAGAAAAAATTATTTTGAGAAAAATTGCCTTGAAAGAAACTGAAATCTACAGAGGCAAATAGATAAAGTTTAATAATATGAAAACTTACATGAATACAAAGTTTGTATTTTGCATGTTGTCTTTCTACTAGTTGATTAGTGCTGAAAAAATAGCGACTTTGCCTGTAGATTCTTCTTAAATTAACTTGCAGTTCACAATTTTTTTTTTCAAATTCCATTTAGTCTCTTAGTTAATTTAATTTGCTGTTGTTATGAAACATAATTCAATGCATTTATTACATTATGTTCCTTTGCAGGCTGAGGAAATCACTGTCATTCCCGTCAAGACTGCTGTGATTTTATGATCCAGCACATTATGGCGCGCCATAGCAAACTCCAGAAACAGGTCTTATCCCTGTATCGGCAGTTTCTGCGTGCAGCTCAGGACAAGCCGGGCTTCATACCGAGAATACGTGATGAATTCCGTGTCAGTGCTGCCATCAAGAAGACCGACGTCATGCACATAGAATATCTTTATCGGCGAGGCCAACGCCAACTCGAACTGCTTAAAGATGTAAACACTAAACAACTGGGATCATTCAGCAAGTCTAAAGAGGACAGTTCATAGCAACCTATATAATCATATACTGTATTCAAATATTTTTCAGAAATCATAAATGCATATTGTTTTCTGGGAAATCACCTCCATGGCTTCAGTTATTTAAATGGAGAGACTTTCGCTCTTCTCAGGCATCTTGCAACATTAAGTTTTTTGGGAGTTGCAGCTAGATAAGATGAACCCATTTAGGTTTGAAATGTTATTTATGCACATTATTTTTTGCTGCTATATGAGTATTCTAATTTTTTGAAGTGTGTGTACTAGATGCATTATGTACTGTTAGGGTCAATACAATGAAGTGTTTTAAAGATATCTGTTGGCACTATACTTCTGAAATGATTCAATACAATTATACTTTTTGTTTTTTTCTGCTATAGTGCCTCTGTCCTGTTGAAATAATAGTTGATGTTGCCAGTTGAATTCTGTCTATGGGTTCACATTGCGATAAAACTTTAGGAAATAGAAATATTGTGATGACTTGTCCTAGTGCTTAAATGGGTGTACAATACATTCATGTATTGTAAAGATATTACAAAAGATGTGTAAAAAAAAAAAAAAAAACGAATGAGAAAAGTCATAATAAAACTTCATGTCTGAATTTATAGTTATACCCAATAGCAAAATGGTTATTTTCACCCAGATGTACTCATCTTCATATTTTTTTCCAAACCAAAAAACATAAGGACTAGAATGTAAAATGTTAGAAGTTTGATGTTGAATTTTGGTTAATAATATCATGGTCAATTATTTTATACATATGCAGATTTTTTTTTTAAATACCCCCATCATCTCTCATATTCAGAAGGAATCTTTATTTAGGTTTAGTTATTAGTTATGTTTTTGATGTGTTTTTTTTAATGTTATTATTACTGTTAAACGTATTCTAATTTGTTTAGTCAAATATGAATTGATAACTACGAAAACAGAAATATACCACCATGTTTTAATGTTTTTTCTGTGGTTATTATGGTTGATATGTTGCGTTCAAATCAGCATGGTCTCTGTGTCCGGTTGCAGCTGGCTCTTCTGGGCTGGCTGAAGACGGACAGTGTTCAGTGTAAGGAGCTGCTCACGGCTCTCACTGGGGTGCAGGTGGCCCGTGAGCTTCTGGACAGACTCTCTGGGCAAAGCCAAATAGATGCTTACAGGGTAAGAATAAGACGTATTGTTTTTTGTTGACTTTACAAAAAGTATTGTGGTGTTTATACAGTACAGTGGCACTTTAATATAGACGAGGCCAAGGAAATTTGTAAAACTACATTTCTAAAAAGTATTTCAGCTCATTCCCAGAGTTATCTCTGCCATGAGAACAAGATGTGACTGTATATAAAAATATGAATGCGTGCAAACAATATATAATGCATACAATACAATTGTAATAATAGTTTTAATATAGAAATCGTATGAGTTGAAAAATGGCATCTTTAAAATGCATAATAAACATTATTAAAAGTATCGAGATACTTTTAATAATGTATCAGGATAAGACTGTTTGAGTTACAACCTGATATATTAGTAAAATGCATTATATATGGATAGATCCATTTGTTTCTATTAGTCTATTAATGGAACATTTCACAATTTATTTTTTCACAAATTTACATTTTTGTTATTTCAAGGACTTTTCAGGAAACGTGGTTTTAGAAGGTTGAGTTGTGAAATAATGAATTAATGTGAATTATTTGATAATTAGTTGTAAAAAAACTGAAATAATTTACAAATATGTACCGTTCAGAAGTTTTGGGACAAGTATTTTTATTTCTTTATTATAGAAAACAAAAAAGATTAATACTTTTATTCAGCAAGGACACATTAAATTGATCAAAAGTGACAATAAAAACTTTTACATTGTTACCAAGATTTGTTTCTAGTGCTGTTATTTTGAGCTATCTATTCATCAAAGGTTCGTGAAAAAATGATCACAGTAAAATGTGATAAAAAATAATGTTTACAAACTTCATAATAATAAGAAATGTTTCTTAAGCACCAAATCAACATATTAAGATCATTTCTGAAGGATCATGTGGCACTGAAGATTGGAGTAATGGCTGCTAAATTTAGCTTTGCCATCACAGGAATAAATTACATTTTTAAATATATTAACACAAATTATTTAAAATTTTAGTAATATTTCACAATATCACTGTTTTACTACATTTTTGATCCAATAAATACAGACTTGGTGCAAATTAAAATTCTTGGAAAAAAAACCCTCTTTCAAATATCTTACTAACCCCAGACTTTTGAACAGTAAGTCTGGGGTACAGTACATTTAAACATTCACTTTTTAATGATTTCATCCCTGTGTACTTCACAGTTGTAGTGTAAATAGTGTATATTGTGTTGTTTTATACTGTACTGAATTGTATATAGTCTTTTGAATGCTACATCACAATCAAACCAATCTAATCCATTAAACACTAACATCAATTTTAATTCAAGTTACAGAATGTATTGCAGAAAACACTGACTGTAGACCCAGACAAACGTTTGTGACATGTGATGCTCTACTTCCACAGAGGGAATGTATCCAGAGCATAGCTGACTATGTGAAGAAGAATCCCAGGGTTTCCCAGCAAGAGCTCAATGCCGAGGTTGAGAAGAAGGTGCTGCTGTTTGCCTCTAGGGTTCAAGCACTACACTCTTAAAAATAAAGGTGCTTTAAAAGGTTCTTCAAGCGATGCCATAGAAGAACCCTTTTTGGTTCCACAAAGAACCATTCAGTCAAAGGTTCTTTAAAGAACCATCTCTTTCTTACCTTTTTATAATCTGAAGAACCTTCTTTCGCCACAAAGAACCTTCTGTGAAACAGAAAGGTTCTTCAGATGTTAAAGGTTCTTTATGGAACCATTTAGACAAAAAGGTTATTCTATGGCATCGTGAAGCACCTTTATTTTTAAGAGTGTAGATACTGGCCACTGAACACGTCCCTGCAGCACTGACCAAAATATCTCTCCTCCTGTTTTCTGTCTGCCTCTCTCTTTTTGTATTTTGACAAATTTATCTAACTTGATCTAAACTGTAATATACTGAATATGCTCATTTTTAATCTTGTATAATTATTTATTATACATGTCAGCCTTTATTGTTTTTCATGATATATAGTGTTGCTGAATTATACTGATTATTTTTTAACATGATTTCACCTATAATTAAATTATACAGACTTACCAAATAAAACTTGAGTTTTATGTTTAAACTGTAAGATTTTAATCTTATATATCAAATATAAATAATAATAATATAATAATATGATTGGATATGAAATAAAGGTGTTCATATCCAATCATGTCTTGTGTCATTAAAGTGCATTATACATATATAATATTGAACAACGACTCATTCATTTACAGCAGGCCAGTTTGGAGAGCACTGATTTTAACACATCGACAACAAAGAACGACAAAGAGAATGGTCAGGTGGATGAAGAGAAAAGAGAGGAAAAATAAGAGGAAAGAGACAGACTCCATAATGAGCTTTTGGGCGATCACTATATTCATCACCAGGCACCTGTGATGAATTACATTATGCAGATCACACTTCTCAGATCTCTTGATGACTTTAAAGACAGTGTAGCACTCAGAGCCCAAACCCATGATTAGCGCTGCTGTGTTTGGAATAATAGAAACACAAGACATGGCTTCTGCAGTCTTTTCGGTTTCACGGCGGCAGTTACCAAAACACTTGTCTTCTGATGAGGACAAAGTTTATGAATAAAATACCACACACTCTTTTGATATAGCACTTGTCTGTCTCCACTGCACCTGGGCACTTACAAGCAATAACCAGTACTCTAATGATGGGGGAATACAGTCTTGTGAGCTGGCAACCAAGATGAAAGGCAAGGGTGGGCTGGTCAGAGAGAACAAAGCAATATCGTCTCAGCCATCTAAGCGCATCTCACAATTGAAAGAGAGTACCATGGCTATATTTTTGTCTGTCAACATCAAACGAAGCAATATTTTAATGTCAGTGAAGCAACAGGCAAATGATGGTCTGTCAGTTGTTTAAAGCTTTTAAATTGTACTTGTTGAATGTCCTTGAAGTTGCATTTTCAGAGAGAGATGATTGTAATGGGGTAGGGGGTGATTTGTGAGTGTTTAGGTATTTATCATGACAGCCCATAAGAAATTACCATGGTCACTGTAATTTGCATGAAAATGCCAATAGGCTACTGATGTTTTCTCTTTTTATGGCATAAAATGTATTGTAGTAAAAATGGCTATTTTTTAAAGGCAATAACATTGCCCTATTAAATTCGTATAAGACAGAGATATTACTTATTGGACCAAAAGACACCGAATCTCTTGGATTAAAATTTGCAACTAGACGGGTGTACTGTTACTTCTTCTACAGTCAAAAATCTGGGTGTTATATTAGATAGTCCATCACGCTCCCTAAGGTCGCAAAATTCTGGACTTTTGGTAGTACCTAGGATATCAAAGTCCACTAAAGGAGGTAGAGCTTTTTCGCATTTGGCTCCCAAACTCTGGAATAGCCTTCCTGATAACGTTCGGGGTTCAGACACACTCTCTCTGTTTAAATCTAGATTAAAGACACATCTCTTTGGCCAAGCATTCAAATAATGCATCTCATAATCTTGTACTGCAGTTATATCTGATCAAATGCACATTATTATTCTTTAGTTTGGGTTAAACAAATAAATTTTGCTTGGTTGGAACAGCAGCTACGCTAATTATGTCTCTATTTGTTTCTCTGTTTTTGCCACGGGGTAACTAGGATTTACACAAGCTTCAGTCTGGATCCAGAACACCTGAGAAGAGATGATGCCAACCCCTCAGAGGACCTCAGATGATGCCAACCCTGAAACAACTTACAGAGCTACCACATTTTGCTATAAGTTTGATTGCATCATATAATAATTGCTGTTAATAGTGTTCATCGTCTGTTTGATTAAGTCTTTAATTGATTTTTCCGTACATTTCTGCCATATGTACATTGACTGACAGTCACCACTGATAAGCTACCACTAAATATTGTAGAAACTTAATTTGGTGTAAGGTTGCTTTGCAATTATTTGTATCGTGAATAGCGTTGTACAAATAAACTTGAATTGAATTGAATAACAGTTAAGTTAAACTTTTTAACAGTTAAAAATTATTTATTTTGTTTGTTTGTTGAGAAATGTACATTTTAATGGCGAAGATGAACAATAAACCTCTTTTATATCAGCAACTGTTGAAAATAAATGTAAATGGAGTCTGCCTTCCAATGTCTATGTCACCTCTCTGAAGATTATTTGGTTCAGGGCTTCAAGCCTGAAATCTTGGTAAATGGCAGTAATCAGTACTGTCACTCTGTGTTTCAAAACCTAGTGAGCCTACCTAGACAGCCTATAGGGACCACGCGCGTTTGGATCTTGTATGCGCCTTTTATTTGCAAAAAATTGCAATCTAGTGTTTCGTTTATAAATGAACTGACGTTTCTTTAAGTGAATCTCTTAAAAAGTGAACTCATTAAGTGAATCTACAAGAAGGAATGTAAGCGTTTTCTATAATTTTCAATACATTTTTTTCACAAAAAAGACAATAGTAGCCCAAATAAATATTCCTAAAATAGTAGACTATTAGTTCCTTCTCCCGTTTAGTAGGTAAAAGAGAAGACGTTAATAATCGGTAATAATCTTTTTAGAATTCGAAGGATTTGAATCAGTGCAATGTATAAAAATACCCAACACAACTACTCTCTCTCTCTCTCTCTCTCTCTCTCTCTCTCTCTCTCTCTCTCCCCCTCCTCCTCCCCCTCCTCACCCACACCCCCACACTCTCAC